CATTGTAAGACTTTTATTATAATGAAGTAATAATTTCAATCATCCAGATAAATTGTTATTCAATCAAAATCCAGTAGAATTCAAAATACCCGATAAAAATCTTTCAGAAAATACTCAAAACATGCACAAATGTCATCTCATAAACATACAAAAAGTTACGCTGTAAAACTTTTATCAATACAAAACAGAATCAATTATTCGTTAACAGAAACAAAATCTGAAACATAAAAGTCATTAAAATCCTCGTTTCTGAAAATTGAGAAAGGCGAAATGTGCTTTACCTCGAGTCATCAACTTTTTCAACTACCGCTATGGATGGAAACAGATAGAAGTCGCCCAAAAATCACTTTTCTTCTTTTTTTCCTTCGGTTTTCTCTCTCATGGGCTTTTCTCTCTCTTCAAAAGATGTCAATCCCATATGTATCAAAATTGATCGTCCCAGACGATCCAAAATCGTCCCGGGAAGATTTGGCCAGTGGACGAATTTTGTTTAGACAAAATAGTTATCGTTCCCGGACGAGTTGCTCTCTGGAAAAATTTCGTACGGACGAACCCCGGTTCGTCCTGGGACGAACTTCTCTGTCCAGAAATTCCTCTACAACCTGTACCGATCGTCCCCGGACGATCCAACTTCGTCCTGGACGATCATGGAAGGAAAAACAGCTTTCACAGATATACTCCCATAATTTATTTCTGGTGCAGAGCTTTGCCATTTAGACAAGTTTGTGATCGTTTGGTTAACACATTTAGTGGAACAATTCGTGGATGGTTTGAGGCTGCTGCACATCGATCACTTCTTCTTGATGCCTCCATACCGCCAAAATGTTTCTTTAATCCATGCATTGCTGATCAGATGGAATATTCGGCGGTAGTGCTTTGTAATAAAAAGAAAGAAGTTACGTTTCACTTCTGATGAGGTAACTATTATCATTGGACTTCTCAAAAGGGGAGTCGAATTTGTACCAGGTAGCAACATAATAATTGGGAAAATCTCTAATGATATTAGACATGAGATTGAAAGTATTGAGGAGTCAACCCAAATTGATGATGTAATTACGAAGTTCATAATATTCATATTGTCATATCTTTTTTCCCATGGTGAAATTCAGAACACCTGCAAGCATATTGACAGTTGTTGAACATGTGGATCAATTCTTAACTTACAAGTGGCCATCACCGATAAGGACTTTTTTAGTGGTGGAATTCAATGTTATTGCAAGGAAGCATTCGAAAGGCAACCACCTCAGCTATATCAATGGATTTCTAATTATTTTAATTGTAAGTTTAATTGTCATGTAGTAAGTTTTATTGACATTATAGAAAACTATTTAGTTAGCTAAAGGATTACAATTTATATTTATAGATTTATTTTTTTTAGCATACAAGAATACACACACAATTAGAAGAGCATTTCCAGTCACATTTTGTTTGTTGGGATAACCATACTGTGAATACCGAGAAAGAAGTAACCTCATTATTTGATAAGCTTGTACAGAAACATGTATTCATAAACCGTTTTTTTTTTAAATATTATTTTATTATTTCAATTTGATTTGAGCTTCTCTAAAAAAATAATGTTTTGTAGATAATAAATGACTTTGAAGGAGTTACTTAAAAGGTTTTGTGTAGTCAACTAGAATTGATGATGTAATGGTAAAGTTCATAATATTCGTATTGTCAAATCTTTTTTTTTTCCCATGGAGAACTTTAGAACACCTGCAAGCATATTGACAGTTGCTGAATATGTTGATCAATTCCTAACTTACAACTAGCCAGCATCGATAAGGAATTTCTTAGTGGCATAATTCAATGTTATTCCAAGGAAGCATTCGAAAGGTAGCCCCCTCAACTACATCAATGGATTTCTAATTTTTTTAATTATAAGTTTACTTCTTATGTAGTAAATTTTATTACCATTATATTGTTATAGAAAACTATTTAAATAGCTAAAGGATTGCAATTTTTATTTGTAGATTTAATTTTTTGAGCATACAAGAATACACACACCATTAGAAGAGCATTCCCAATCGCATTTGTTCATTGAGATAGCCATATATTATACATTGAGAAAGAAGTAACCTTATTATTTAATAAGCTTGTAAAGGAACATGTATTCATAACTCGTTCTGTTTAAAAAACATTGTTTTATTATTTTAATTTGATTTGAGCTTCTCATGAAAAATAATGTTCTGCATATAATAAACGACTTTGAAGGAGTTACTGAAGAGGAGAGTGTACTCTTATAGAAATCTCCCCCGTAATTTTTTGAAATAACTTTAACTAAAACTTCTAAGAAACTCCGAATAAAACTCCCTTGGCCCGCCAACTCCCTCAGGTCACCCAAGGCTTCCACTCCTTTTAGCCACCCCCAAATTTATAGTTCACTAGACCAGGAAGTACCTACACCCACAAATGTGCCTGATGATGCTATCCCCTACTCACATGAAGAAGGCATGCGTAAACTAATGACTCAAAATAAAATTATGATCACTCGGCTAGCAAAGGTTGAATTAATGTCTACCATGCTTGAAAGGTGCATTCAAGCATTGGAAGATTTTATTTTTCAACTTGAAGAGAAGAACATGAGATATGAAGAGATAAAAAAATTTATAGAGGAAAAATTTCCTGATGCATCTGAAGGTTCTTTTAATTAAAGGCATTATGTTAGATTTGATGCATCTGAAATCTTCACAATATTCATTTCGATGCCAAGTCATCAATAGCTTCTCTAAGCCCAAAAAATATTTAGTTATAAAATTTGTTGGTTTGGAAATGTCATGACACACAATTGGTGGACTTGCTACGCTGTGTAGAAAGAATGCCTAGGTTAAAATAAATTTTATTGAATATTGTTGGCCACTTATTCCTGATTCTATAAAGATCTTTCAATCATTCATGACTTTGGAGGTCTCCTTCACTGATCATTTAAGCCCAAGTTTTCTCAAACTCTTCCTTAGAATCACCCTTACTTAAACACCTATGAAAAAACCCTCTAACTTTATTATTACTATTGAAGCACCTCACCTTGGACGGAGTTTTCTTACCGATGTTCCATTGACACAGCCTATGTTGTGTTTGAAGCAATGCAATTTCAATCGCCATAGCCATTGTCGGATCCTGATCAGTAAATATCGTTATGAGATGTTTATCACCAATTATTCATAAAAATATTGTAAATAAGCAGGTAAATGATTCAATAGTTTTTCTGATAAAAAATAACCCATAAAAGAATATTCTTTCAATGATTATTAACTCCTATAAAGAATGCACAAGCTAAATTATATTTGTTAAGTCTATTATTAGTATAAAAAATAATCACATAATCAAAATAATCATAATTTGTTTTCCCTAAATCATCTACAAAAAAAAAAAATCATCAATCTACATTCTCATCAGTTTGTACGTCCAATGTAAATATGTTATCATGAATTAGTCGTTCTTTAAATAATTCAATTAGAAAACTCATTTATCCATTCTCAATTTTCGTTCTTCTCTCCTTTTGAATAAAGTTATATGCATCCCTTGTAGAGAATTATATATTCCGCAAACCTCCTGCTTCCTAACGTAGGTATTAGCACACCAATAATAACATTGTATTCTTGTTGTCCAATCAGTACTATACACGTAGACATAGGCTTTACATTATTCTATATAAACTATACTTCAGACTGTTAATAAGACATACATTTACTTCTCTATACATCTCGGTCTTCTTGAACCTGAGAACTTCTTCTTCTCCCTCTCTTCATCTCATCCAATTCTACAGTAGGTACGTAAATGCATCAACTATTTGTATCCTAGCTTATGTCATGGATTTAAGAACTGATATCTTCTCATCACGGATATTCTTACATGATCTAAGCAAATGTTGATCTTTAAGCCTAGCTAATTCATGATTGTGGCTCTCAATGAATTTTTGAACCTTCCAAACTTCATCTTGACCTACTGAAAATCTAATCATAGCTAGACACCCGATTTCTGGTATTGGATTTTCGATATTTCTAATTGGAATTCAAGTCAATGCATTTCTTAAATCCAGCTTTCGAACATACATAGTCCTTTGATTTAATTCTCATTAAATTTTGCCAGTAACTATGATGTTCTTTCCGAACATTGAATACAATGTTATGAGCATAATTGTAATATATCTCATATGCTTCATTGTCACTTGAATAAATACCATGTGGAAATGTGAAAATGATTTTAATGTTAGGAATAAACAATCGGATAGGTGTACCGACATGTATCATCATTATCGAAATACCGTGAATTAGTACCAAAACCTAGTATCGGGATGAAGTACCGAGAGCATTGTCATGGAAAAAATACCGATATCTTTTCGGTACAGTTCCACGATATCGAGATACCCTGAATCAGTAACGAAACCCGGTACCGAGACAAAATTCCAAGAGCAGAAACATGGACCCAAAAATACCAAGCAGTATCGCCACTGGGTACCAAGACGCAGTACATGTAATCTTCTCAATTTTAAGACTATTGTAAACATTTAGAACTCTACATTTATAAGATCTCTTGTAAAATCTCTTCGGAGTTCATAACTTACCGAAAAAATGTCAAGCATATCTTCCGTGCTTCGCTCAAATATTTCTTCCTTTACGTCTTCGGTTTGTTCCATCTCCTCGAACGACTCGAATTCATCCAAAGTGGTTTCCATTTTTAATTCGTCTTCCTCGCTTCTCTTCGTAGCACTCTTCTAATAATATATCATAAACCCTAATGTAGAAAAAACCCACAAATATCTCATAAAGCAAAACAAAAAATGGCGGCATTTTTAAAAATTTCACGTGGACCCCTGTTCAGGTTGTCGTGGCGTGCGAAATTTCGTCTTCCTGGCAGGTCGGGTGTCGTCAGGTCGTCATGCCGTAACGTAACATGTTACTATTGACCTCCGAATGTAGAACTACGTTTGGTATCCGCACCGAATGATTTTCCCATATTCAGATTAATAAAATATTATGGGTGCAATGCAAATATATTCTGAAGTGGAGTTGCCCACGCCGACCAAGAAAGCCAAGTTCACCACGCCGCCGATGCGCGCATCAGCATCCCACTTCCCCGCTCTTCTTAATCCACGTCAGCGACAGCCCTTAAAGTACGCCTCCACTCAAGGAAGCGCATTTTAGCATCCTGTCCGTTCTCCATAAATCCTCTACCCGCCCACTAGCCAAAACCCTATCCCCCACATCCCCAGTCCAATCTCCCATCCTCCTGATCTACTCCGCCTCGCCGTCGTCTCTTTCTTATAAAAGAATCAGTGACGTAGATTGCACGATTTCGATCCTGGACTAGGACAGTCGGCAATGGGACCCCGATCCTCTGACGATGGCGACGATCCCCCGATGGAGATCGAGTACGAGGTACAGGAGATTCGCGACGGTATCGATGATTCACAGGGCAGTCGATTCGCGCTCCTCACCCGGGAATTCCGGGCTCTCCGTCACCGGAGTCGAGAGGAGCTCCTCATCCGATACATCATCCATCCCGATAACCGGTATGTCATCTACCTTCAGTCTATTGCCTTTTGCCACCATTCAATTTTTTTCCACTTTCGCCGATGGAATGTAATCTCTCTCTTCATGCGGGAATATTTGTTGTTTCGTTTATGAATTAATGTAGCGGATTAGGGCTTATGGAACTGTCGGTAAGAAGATCTAAAGCTTGGGATAGGAAGCCGGAGAAGCTTAATCTCGTTCTTGAAACCGCTATTGTTTTTTCTATTTTTTTGAAAAAAAAAAAAGTTAGACGGACGTATTACCTCAAATTGAGTTTTTTTTTTTTTTTTTGTTTTTTTTTTTTTTTTTTTAAAAAGTTAGACGGATGTATTACCTCAAATTGAGCGTTTTTTTTTTTTTGCATTTCTTGGTCGAGCGGTAGCAGAGCATGGTCAGTTTATCCGTGGAGCCAGTTTTATTTGGCTCTTGATGGGTAGCTTTACAGTTTTTTGTTTATGTGAGGATTACGATTTTAGATGATAGTAATTGCCAAACTATCTTATTTTTGTCTAAAAAGTGATTTAATATATACGACTGAGACTAGACTTTTTTTTTTTTTTTACATTTAGGTCATTTAAGACAAATTCACACACAACGCATACACAAAGACTCGAACCTATGACCTCTTAATTGGAAGTCTAAGCTCTCAACCAGGATGTCAAAGTGAGTTGTGTACTGAGACTAGACTCATTTGGCACTGCAGTGTGAACTTATTAGAGTTCGTTATCACCGTTTTAGCAAATTTGTAAGCGCTTATTTTTGGAGGATTTTGCTTTAGATCATTTTTTAAAATAATTTCCGATAAATCATAAATTATGTATTAAAAAATAGAATTATCCTTTCCGTGACCACGAATCCTTTTAGGAATCTCAATAATCAAAAATATATATGTGAGCCACCCATTCCGTGCCAAGTGTTCTTCATATTATATGGTTATACTATTTTTAATCATTTGTTATTTATTAATATTCTTCAACTTAAAGACAGTTGTCACATATTTAGGTAGGAGTGTTTTTATTGAAGAATTTTTATCGTTTTTCCAGCAATCCTAGTAATATCAATACGAATCACATCTTAGGTCTAAAGATTTTAAAAGTATAATGCTCTTAAAAAATGGAAGAAATCAGAAAAACGAGCACACCCAAGTTGCCGAGGGTTGAGACTTTGTTGTTACAAATATCCTATGAAAATTGAAATCTATAGAAGTTGAACTTCTATCCATTCACAGATGCTTTAACTAGTCAGAAAATAAAGCATAAACATTAAATTAAACCCAAAATGATTGGGAATGGACGATTAAATCTTAACAAACCTTACCCAGACAAAGAGATCTACATCGTTGATGGATGGATGATTGAGAGAGATCGCCTAGGATAAGGGTAAAGCGGTTGAAAAAGGTAATATTGAAGAGAGCTCTGCATTAATGTGCTGCTAAAGAGAAGTGCCGTGTCTAATAATCTACGTTGGCCGAGAGGGTTTGGAGACCGAGGTGTTGGGAGATTTTGAGAGAGAGAGAGAGAGAGAGAGAGAGAGAGAGAGAGAGAGAGAGAGATTAGAGTTTTACTTGATAAAGTTGGTTGATGTCTTGCTTCATTATGACAGGGAAAACAATTTTGTTGTGATTTAATTAACTCCACAAACTAGGCTATTAATCTTTGCGGGGCAAAAGAAGAATTTTTTAAAAAATATTTTGCTTTTAGCTAAGCTAATTAATAAAAATCTCATAAAAAAAAAAAACTTTTATTTAAGAAAGTTTAATGGAAAGAAGGTTGGAATCTGCAGCAAAGCTAAAATGTTGGGTAAGAGGAATAACCTTAAGCAATCAAGTATTCTCTTTGATATATTAGGATTTTGATTGTCCATTGACCATTTGAGATTAAGCAAGACTAATATCAAACCCGAGTGAGAGGAGGCTATTCTAATTTCTAAATATCAAAGTCCAATAACTACTTTATAAGCTAAAAAATAAATTTCTATCTAGTTTAATATCTGTCAATCGAACAAGTTTATCCTTATCCATAGTGGTTTTAAGTGTTGCATACTTGCATGTGACGTCTTCCATCGTTAGCTGTCGTCCATGTCATCCCTTTCGGATCGGAAATCCCACCAGTAACCCAATGAGGCTTATCTCAGTCATTAATATCTTAAGATATTAAGAGGAGGCCCGATTGATATCTGACATAGCCAATCGGTCAACTTTTTATGATGGTCTTGGTACACAATACTGGTTTTGTCAAAGATTGTGCGTGGCTTATGATAGGCTACTAGAACCAATATCCAATCAGCCGAGAAGACTACGGAAACGTCAAGGTCACTCGGCTAGATTTGCCAGGTCGATTGATTTTTTTTTTTATTATTATAAAAAAGGTGATAATTTCTCGCCATACTTTTATTTTTTATAATGTGGAAAGTTTGATTCTCTAGTAGCACTGCCCTTATTAGGTCCTAAGTCTTGGATGAGAAAAATGAAGTATTGCGTTAGGTAGTCAGCACCTAGCATAAAACTTGTCGAATAATCATGAAATGAATTTTTTAATACATTGTGTTAATGCTAGGGCATTTCTTGGAAGTGATGCGTTGTATGACCTGAATACAACGAGTAGTGTGCAACCGCCCTGGTTGAGTGTTAAATACGCAAGAGTTCTCATATCATGGATGGACGTGGACAAAGAAGTTAGTCCATGAAACTAAAATTAGTATAGATTCTTAGAATATAAGTTCTCTTACATGCAAATTAATGAAATTAAGAAATATCATGATTCATAGGAAGAGAAATACTCTATGCATTCAAGAAACTAAATGAGTTAAAGAGATTGATAATTTAGGATATAAAATAGGATATTCTAGTAATAATCGTACTAGCTAGAAATGATGTAGGTGTGGGCATATATAAGATTTTAAAGGATAATGTTGTAAAAATTAATAGAATTTGAATAAAATTATAACTTTAAAGATTATTGTTGATTCTAAGATTATTAATGTTATAAATGCTTATGCTCCTCAATTAGATTTAGAAATGAGTTCAAAAATAATATTTTAGAATAACTTAAAAGAATTAATATAAAATATCTCTTGAAGAAAAAATTTTTATTCAAGGAGATTTAAATGAACATGCTAGTAGAGAGGTATGTGATTTTAAAAATATTCACGGTTGCTATGATTTTGGAGCAACTAACAAAAGTGGAAGACAATATTAAACTTGTTTTAGCTTGTAATTTTAATATTGTTAATATCTTGTTTACTAAAATTAATGAGCATCTCATCACTTATAAAATTGATATAGTAAAATTCAGATTGATTATTTTCTTATTAAAAATAAATTATTTATATTACAAAAATTATAAAGTTATTCCGAATAAAAATTTATCTACCCAACATCATTTATTAGTTTTAGACTTTAAGATAAAGGGACATAAAATAAAAAATAAATTTAAATGTTGTTATAGGATTAGAAGACGACTTTTAAAGAATATTAACAAAAATATTTTTTAGAATAAGATAATAGATCTTTAGATTTTATCTGTGCATGAGAAAATTTATATTATATAAGAAAAAATAGTTAATGATATTAAAAATATGCAAAAGATTTGCTTAAAGTTTTAAATAGAAAAGTTTATACTAGTAAAAATAGTTGGTCATATAATCAAAATATATAAGAAAAGATAGAATAATAAAAAAAATATTTGTTATTAAAATTAATTTAGATGTAAAATTTTTGATAATTACTAATGATATAAAATGCCCGTAAGGAATCTAAGAATGCAATATGCGATGCAAAGATTTTAATTTTTAATGATATATATAATATATTAGATATTAAGGAGAACAAAAAATATAAATATAAATTAGTTAAATAAATAGATTAGAGTAGTAAGTATTTTGTTTAAGTGAAGCGTATTAAGGATGAAGATAAAAAAATGCTTTTATTAGAAGAGGATATTCAATAATTGTGGATGAGATATTTTTCTAAACTTTTCAATAAAGATTATGAGAATGCGATTGACCTTAGTCACATTAACACTCTAAATGAAAATAAAGATTTTTTCATTAACGTATTAGTAAAATGTTTAGTGTTGTAGAGATAAGGATGCTTAGGTGGATGTGTAGTTTTACCCTTAGAGATAGGATACGAAATGAGCATATACGTGAAAAGGTTGGAGTAGCTCCAGTGGAAGATAAGATTAAAAAGAGTTGTCTTAGATGGTTTGGTCACATTAAACAGAGGCCTTTCGATGACCTGGTTAGGAAAGTTGAGGTATTATATTTGACTTATGTTAAAAAAAGAAAGAGGTGGACCTAAAAAGACTTGATTAGAAAATATTAGAAATGATCTTTCTTTATTAGATTTAAATGAAAATTTGACTTTTAACATGACACAATGGCGAAAAAGGATTCATGTAGCAGAGATAAAGGCTTGATGTTGTTGTTGTGTTAGTAAAACCGAAGTTGAGGCTTTAAAGAAAATGATGTGTGTAAAAGCTGTTGCACATGACGATACTCCAATGGAGGTGTGAAATTGCTTAGGAGATAAATGAGTTTCTTTGATGCAGGACATATATGAAATTATGATTTAGATTAAGATTTTGCACGCATGATGATTAAGAGCAAGTTAATTAAAGCCTTATGATGAATTGAACAATGACATAAAACACAAAGAGCAGTAAACACAAGCTTAGGCCAAGTTACTTGCAAAAAGTAAAAACTACTCTTGATGTTGCATATGAGATATGTTTCAACAAGAAATCCTTTATCTAATAGTAAGACTAGTGCTATGAAAGATATCTCACACAATTCCTACTAAGCACTAAACTTTAGCGGAGCGTTGCAAGATTTTGCATGAATCAATTAAAGGATTCATTTGAATTTGGAGTTTGAAAACTTTCCAAATTTAAGAGGATCTAAATTAGGTAAGCTTCTAATTATTTCCCTAGAGGAGACTTGGGAGAGAAAAGGAAGGTGGATGGAAAGAGGGCCGACAGCATTGGGGTGGAGGTGAAAG